TACAATGTTTACAATTATATTTGTATTTACACTATTTAAGTAGAAATGCTCAGTATGTTCAGAGTTACGTGACAGGTGACTTCAAACAGAAGAAGACATTATGCCAAGCAGTGCGCAGTCTCTGTTAATAAGATGCAAGCTGTTTCATTTTAACACTTCAACAACTTATCTTAAAGGGAAAAGCTATTTAAGTCATTTGAGTAGATCAGAAATTCCGCTAGTTGTACGGTCTCTGTTCCCCTGCCACCTACCCAGTCATAGAAGAGCGATCCAGAATATCTGGCTTCCAAATGAAGGATGTGAAAGTAATACCAAAAGCAGTGTTAAAACTTTAAAAAAAAAAAAATTCTAAAATAAAAGATTTTGCAATCAGGATATTTCAGTTTCTAGACAAATCTCCTAAATGGCAGGGGTGGGAGGGGGGTGAGTGGGCCAGATATGTTCATTATGGAACAATTTAGTATCTGTTATTTCAAGCACATATTCAGAGTGCTTAGAAACACTGGAGAAGAGCAGTGTTTTGCTATCAGTGAGTGTGCCACACACTCACTTCTTCCACTTCCTGCCTCCATCTTTGCTCCCCTCAAGCTATGGAGTTATAAACCATAATTTAAATTCCAAGCGTCAGTAGTAACTTTGGCTAAAAAGAGACAGACTGTTAAATCTCAGCTTCATGTTAGACCAGAAAGGTACAATTTGATCAGTTTAAATAATTCAGTACTTAACCACTGCTCCTGAAAATTAGATGATGGAAACGTGATAATAGATGCTGAGGGTTTCGTATTAATGCACTGCTGGAATGAAGAAAAAAAAAAAAAGCAAGATTTTGATCCAAACATTTTGACATTCAGTTCTGAATATCATCAGAATGAAAGGTTTTGCCATACCTGAGAGGTACACCTACATCAATCAGTTATCGAGCATCAGCATTTTTGTCCTACCCTTACTATGGCTTATAGCTTGTTGCTTCCCATGTTGGTACAAGCCAAGCTATTTTTGACAGTGATAGAATGTTAAAGGATGTGTCACTAATTGCTATTACTGCTTTGTGGTTGTCCAGATATGACCCTTGAAAGGCTGAAAAGCTAATGCCTGGTTCTTTCATTAAAACCCATCTCAGTATAGGCCTCTGCTTTTATTCTCCTAAGTGCAGGAAGGGGCCCAAATAAGATGATAGTAAACATGTTTTTCATTATAACAAGAAATATTTCCCTTGACTCCATCTATTTACCCCATCTTTTCTACTTTAGGTTAAAGAGTGGTGGGCTTAAGGCTTTTGGTTTTAACTTGTTGGTTTACCAAAAAATATTTGCATGGTTTTTTTCTAAGTAAAAGCATCTTTATAGTTCTGTTGTTTCACTTTGTGCCCTCCCTGTCGTCTTCTCATAATTTTTTCTCTATGATGAAATTATCCTGTGTTGGCATGAAATTCTGAAGCTAGAAAGGCCGTTTCTCTGTTTGGCTAAATTTGAGCCATTTCTCTGTTTAGAATAGTATTCTTAATCTGTTTCATTCTTACCAGCTACAAGATATTTAGAAATTACTTACTTCTTTGCCAAATAAGAGTTGAAGGTAATAAGCCACAAATTTCTAGAAAATTAAACCGGTTTGTACGTAAAAACAACAACAGCAAACCAAACAAGTAGCAACTGGAGTAACTAGAGAGACAAAATGTTATTCCTCAGATAACATAAATATTAAATACTTACAATTTTTTCTTTTGTCTTTTCTAATATTTTCTTTATTTAGGTGCTGCATTTTATCTAGCTAATTTGGAGACAGGGGAATGACTCAATTTGTTACCTTGAGTATTTATAGGAATTTCAATAACCATTTAAGTATCGAGCATCTGTGTGTTTTACACTTAGCGGAAAATGAAACGTGTGCGGGTTTCCAAGGCAGCAGATGAAACAAGCCAACTTTACCATTGTTCTGACTTTTTCACAATGTCACTGTCTTGGATTTCACATCCAGATAGAGATGCTGTGAATAAATTCTATGGGTGAAGAAGCAGAAAATAAGGAGGAAAAGAGGATTTACCATGTGGATTCATTATAACAATGTGGAACACAGAGTCTCACACACACAGGCTTTCCTTACTCCCTACGGGATATCTATCTGTAGGCCTCTATCAATTTCTAGGAGATTTTCTATGTGAAAGGATCCTCCAGTTAATTTCAGTGTATAGCTTGTTTTAGATTTATCTTTCTCTTACGTCTTCTCTCTTCCTTTCCCCTTTTCAAACCTCTGTTAAAAGGGGTGGGGGTAGGGGAATAGATTTTTTAAAAAAAGGAAGAAAGAAAGAAAACAATGAAACCAGCATTATGCATGTATTGTCAGAAGCATTTTATGAAAATACCACTACTTCATGCTGACTGAAAATACAACTTACTGTATTCTTGCTGCTCGTGGAAAAGACAGGATATCTATGCACCCATTGTTCTTCACGGCTATACAGCAGTCTCGTCATTGAGGAACGTGATGTTTCAGGCTGTGTCAGAATAGCAGAAAGGAAAGAACAAGAATCAGGTGGTGGAGAACAGGAGAGAGATACCAGATGGTCTCAGCAACACGCTCAGAGACACGGACTGTACTGTATGTGTAGGTTTCAGTATATTTTAAGATGTGGAAGCAGGTAAGGAGCAACATGCCCTGTAAGTTTGAAAGACAGACTTCACTCTGATACATGCTGAGAACAATTCCCTCTTTATCTGACTGAAAATCATGTGAACCAACACATAAATATACAGACCATAAAGCTGCTCCTTTCGAATGTGATTTTTAACATAATGTTATTTTCTATTCAGTAAAAAAATCAGACCTGGAAATCACCCTGGCAAGCCAAGTGAAAAGACAGGGAAAGAAAGCCATTAGTGTTGTGCTGTGAGGTGCTATTTCTAGGGACACTAGGAATGTTATTAGAGTGTTTTAGGGTGCTATGGCTCTGCCTTCAAAAAAGACAAGTTAAATGTTAAATCTAGATCTTTATTAGCTGAAAGGCACTTTATCCACAATTCATGAGAAATGAGACCACATTTGTGTAATAGAGGGTAACATTTTAAATATTTTTCTAAGTGTCACTGGTTTTATCACCCCAATCTGGAATAAAACCTGTTGAAATTGCATTGTAAACTGCTAAAATAAACTGTGTGACTGGCCAGGACTGAAACTAACTTGTGTCTTTAAACTCAGTATTTCTCCAGAATCGGTGTAATTTAATTGAAATAGCTCTGCGTGTGTAAACAACTCCTTTGTTTAAAGAAGATTTCACTGTTTAGTTTGCCTTAAGTAAATGCTGCCTTTTGTTTGTCTGTAAAACATTTGATTAAATGTAAAGACTTACAAAGACAGCTTCTCCTCATTACACTAGTGGCTGGAAAATAAGTTAAAATTATGCAGGTACCTGCTATCTAAGGAAGTATCAAACGATATCGTTTGTCTTTAAAAGAAAAACCCATGGAAACATCTTAACCTAGTATTAAAATCAAACTACAATCTCCTAATACCAAGGAAATGGTATTTAAAGAACTGTTCAATATACCAGACTCTTTTCTTGCTCGCTTAAAAAACATTTTCTACTAATTTCCTGCATGACAAACCACTTTTAAATACATGACTTTCTACTGAATTAGAGTGTTGTAATATGAGGGCCCACATTTTATTGTGATTATAATGGTATTAAACAACAAACTAAGCAAGACAACTAACATAGCATGATTTTCTTCACCAGCTGAAATGCTTCTATAGATCATAATAAGTGTTTTAATGTGCTCTAGACAGGGTGAGAAGTATGCTGTATATTCACGTAACTGCATTTAGTACTGAAAAAAAATATGTTGAAACCAAAAGCTCATGTTTGGTCCTTTCTCCTTTAGAAGAACTCTTAAATTCTCTTTCAGACTGACCAAACAGACTTTAGGTCCGGTCAGGAGAAAAGCAAGCAAAACAGGTTTTTCGTGTCAATAGGGCCTCTCGCAGTGCACAATCCATAACGACTTTTGCAGATTGGGATCTCTAAGCTAGTGATACTTGTCCTACGCCTTTTATTTGTATTGTCGAAAACGGAGTAAGCAGAAATGGAACAGAAACTGGGGAGACATGGAAGGCAGGATGGTCGTTAACACTTTAGTGTGATGTGTAGCTGGATAGGGGGTTTTGTTTGCTTGGGGTTTTTATGTGCTTTGGGAAAGCTTTTCGGATTCAGGATAGAGATGCCAAAGGAGAGACAGCCAAGCATCCCTCATTCTCAAAACAGTCAACTGTTTACAATGCAAAGGGTGAAATCCATGTTTTTTCCGACCGTTCTTACTTACCCTAGGTAAACTGTTGGCTATTTTGTAATCTTTCTTCAAGATTTCAAGTTAGGTGTCAGTGTTGAACAAGACCTTAAAAATGCTCATTAAGGTAAATTTTAGTGGTTTTTGTCTAGTCCTATTCAAGAGATTTTTTAAGTCCTTACTCTGAAATAGGAATAATAACAGCTACAGGTAAGTGATATTAGTATTAAATTTTTGAACAAATGTGAACACGTTGTTGTTGTTGTTGTTGTTGTTCTTAAATAGTTCAAGGATTTTTGAATAATTATGCAATGCTGGCAAAGCTCTCATGTCAAAATATAAAGCAATACTACAGTTAATTGTAACTTCTTCCTTCACAGTAAACTTTGAGATGTATTCCTTTTATTCTGATTATGAAAAAGAGAGGTTATCTGTAAGGAAAAGGTCCCACCTTCTGCTCTCACCCCCAAAACCATGGTGTGAATTACCTTTTCAAGGGTAAGAGTTGATGATGGTGATGATGATGCAGGATTAATCCATCTTTTTTCAAGGTTAATTCAAGAGGTGTCCACTGCCATCCATAACGGTTGAAGTAAATTCCTGTGTTGAAGGCCTAGAAATTCCTGTACATTAAACCTTAAATAAATGCTCTTACTTATGTGAACCAGGTACACAATTATACTTGCGTTCTGGGGTTTTTTTATCTATGTCTCCTTTGATTAGGCAATGCTGGATGTTGCAGCACATCATGGCTGGCTGGTGACTGCTCTGAATATAACCAATCTGGTGCAGATGGTGGTTCAGGGGAGATGGATACATGACTCTTCCCTGCTTACTTTGCCCAATATAGAGCTACAACACCTTTACCTTTTTCGGTATGTAATTCTTCTAAGCGTTTGCAGGTTTGAAATTTCATTCCACTTCTGACTGCTGATTGCGTTTGAATGTCATTGTTGTGCCTGAGAATGTCCGTTAATGCATCAGAAGCAGAACTCATTCTTTCACAGTGATGCTTTCCCAAATGGAGTTTCTGTTTCTGTTTTCAATATTCATTGATTAATTAACCCCCACAGATTATTTTGAGAACCATGATTCCAGACAAATTAACAAGAGATCACTGGAAGGGTTCCAAGTCCTAACAAATCTAACTCTGTCTATTAATTATCTCTTTATTTGAAGCCATTATAAAAATACATTAGTATCCATCTTAATATCACAGATAATGCTAAAGCTCTATAGGTGCCTAGATGATGCAGTAATTAGTGCTACCCAAAAATAAATGACAAGCATTTAATAACAGAAACTGATATCGAGTTTTACCACCAAAACAACTGAAAAGAAATGTTTGCTTTCCCTCCCGGGGCATATGTTTTGCTGTCTGTATCAGGAAGTGGAGCCA